AGCGAGTGAAACGTTATCAAAATAGCTTTATAATTAGTCTTACTTGAACTAATAAACTTTCCCACAACATTGTTGTTGCTATAATAGAAGGCCCGCTATTCTCGACGGCCTGTACAAAAGTGCGCTGTGACCCTGACATTCCGCATCTAGTGATTTTTGTGTTGCTGTGAGAAAGAACTTTTGAACGAAATCGACAACGCAGCTCATCGCTGAACATCGCAACTATTGTTTGTAGCGTTTTGAACAACACGATACCACTTTCACTGACATACTCGAACACACATTGGCATACATACACACTGTACACAAAACAATATTTTTGTTATCGATATAGTAGTGGTATAGTTGCGTGTCATGTCAAGTGTTTTAGTTATGTGCAAGATATTTATATTCACCAGACTGCGGCGAAGTTGATATTTTCGGGAGGAGTGAAACATATGATAGTTGCCCGTTTCTATACCCGACAGTAACTTCTAACTTCGCGGAAAACAGACTTTATGATCTTAGCGTGTTTCAAGTATATTACACCACAACCATTATCGTACCGTCATGTGCCAAATATAAGGGTTATTACTGCTTCGTCCAGGAGGATGATTACGGAGCGTAAACTTGGATGTGTTTATTTTATTATTTCTTCATATAAATATAAGATAATTGAAACACGAAATTCAAACTAAATATATGATGTATTTATTGCACTTTTTTAAGAACAACCTTCTTAAAAATTGCTCACAATTATTGCAGTTCATATTAATTTCCAGGTTGGTACTTTGCTTTTAATAAAAATTTACTTGTTTAATAAGTGGAAAAGGACGAGCATGCGGCTCACCTAATGCTAAGTGACTAACGCAACTATAATCATCTGCGATGCTAGAGAAATAACAAATGCGTTCCCAAAATTAAAAAAAAAGGAGTAGGCTCTTCACACCTGCAGCTAAAATGAACAAAATTTTGCCTTAGACATAAAAATGTGCACAAAGTAAAGTAATTACTAGTCATGAAAGCTCACGATTAAGGGTGAAATAGTGCTAATTGGGCCACCAGATGTGTACTGATGGGGGTGAGGGGGCTATTTTGGTCCGAAACATGCTGCTACTGAATAAATAAAGTCTGCATCAGGAATAGGTCTGTCGACGGGCAGGGAAAGATCACGCTCACAACGAATACTTGGATGAAATAGCAGCGTCATGCTGTTATGTTTAGCAGGGTGAGTGACGAGACCCTCTTAACTGGTAGCGAGGTATTCCACCTTAGTTGCATCGGTAATTACGCATCTAGATTTGATATAAAGATACACACGTATTTAATGTGTGTACCTAGGCCACAGCATCCACCTCCTAATGGGCAGTGTGCAACCTTGCCTTACTTCTTAGAAAAACATTGTTTTTTAATTATATAATCAAAGAGTTATTAATAAAGACAGCGGCAGTGGCGGTGTAGGAATAACCCTACAAATCAATATCATCTCGTGGGTGTCATAAGAGGCGAAAGAGGGAATCAAATCAGGAGATGGGCAGCAGCGTCTTCCTAATTAGGGCTAAAATAAAAAAATACAGTTGCCAACCCGCTTGCCAAGCGTGGCAATTTTGGCAAAAATCCAGAAATCCAAATAAGACCAGAGGCCTATGTTCAGCAGCGGGCTGTAACGGTATAAATATAGGAAAAAACAACGATTGAATAAAACTAAATTTAAATTAATTCGCGTAAATTTAAGAAATCATTATAAAAAACAACGATGTTTTTTTCTGATTTTGGTACAAATAGCAGATATCCCGACTTTTTGAAAACATGTTCTAAGTGCACCTTGACATATTAGTTTTGATAAAGCGTAGGCGTGCGCTGCGTATAGTCGCGGTTCATATTAAACAGGCTTGCAGCAAGTTTAAAAATAGCACGTATTAATTTCGCCTCGCGATGGTGGTTTAAATAAAGCAATTAGTAAATTTCAAAGGAAAATTGAACTATAAACAAATGAAAATTCGACTTAAGGTCACCAATTAATTATTTTTCACCCTATTTCACGAGCTATAAACTTCATTTGTTCATATATATGTACACATATAAAACTCTATAAGTATATAAAATATTCATATAGTAGACATGGTATAATTTTTATGGATGCGAGTCCTTGACGCGATCGAAGCTGTCTTGTACGTGATGGGAAAAATTATTATTTGCATTGTTTTATATTTATATGCGTCTTATCTCAATTGAACTGTAAATCATCAGATTACTATTTTTGGCTTACTATAGTTAATGGCGACATAAAAATATGTTATGATGGGCTTTGAAAATCGCGATAATGACATTTAAAAGCGCGATTTGCCTGCGGGTTACGTAAAGACGCGACGCACTTGTCGTTCTATAGATCGAAACCAGTTTAAACGATACCAGTTGCACTGCTCCGAGCAAGGTCCCGTGGACCCGCTGAGTTCCACTCCCAAGGAGCGTTACCCTCGCACAACCCGTTCCGTATTTTTACATAGGCCGTAGCAAATTGAGATAGGCGTCGTAATACCATCAAACTGCAATCGCATCGAAGACCTTGGTACGTTTGTGTGAAACCTGAAGCAGCAAACATTCTGTAATGTGAGGAAAATATTCTTCAAGTACGTCTTGTTGTGAAACCGTCTTATCGCGATGCTAATCTGTGGCAGTCTGACCGTAACCAAAGTATTTCGTAAAACTCATTAGAGGGAAGTGCCATGTGACTTTAAGCTTTAAATGAAATATCCAACTAAAAATGGTCTAACATAAAATTATAATAATAGAATCAGTGCATTGTTTTGTCTATTATACAATTCTGTATCGTAAATTTTTAAGTTAAGTCGGGGTCATTTAACGATAACTTCAGTGTGTGAAAGTTTTAAAACAATGAAAAACCTATCTATTGATGAATTATTGACATATTTGTACGCCGAATAAGTGCATACTTTATTAATGAGCTCCGAAATCATTATTACTTACGAGAATCGTGAAGATCAACTACTTTCGATTTGCAGAGTTTTTTAGGAAGGGGAGCCCTGATGGTGGGGCTGATAGACATTATCCCATACGAATCAAAATGCAGAGTGGAGTAATAAGATGGAAGCTCTAGTAAAATGGTCGCGGTTCTCTACACTCACCATACATATGTATATTTAGCTGGTTCTGTGCCTGCTCACTATACATCTATTTTAATGGTTGGCTGCTCTTTGACTACGATTGTTGACTTCAGCAGATTAATAACAAGTTATAATAAACACAAAATTCTATCTGTATCTACATCTTATGAAAGATCGTTTAAAAGGATTATCTGTTCTTCCATATTTTTAAAATAACTTCTTTTATTAACGGGCACAATAAATATACGTATTAACACAACTTTTCTATTTGTTTAATGACGTTAGTGTCTTTAAATTCTCTATTACAGAAATTTTAACATTACATCATAAATAAAAAATCGTAAGAAAATTATATAACTTGTATTGTTTACAAAATACAATAATACTGTACTAATACGGCTTTCAAATTACTACTTAACTTTGTAGATAACAAATTACATAATACTATATTTTACGTTTTTAGCTGAATGGCTACATTTTGTAAGAATAATTGGCATTCGATAGATGGTAGCATAACCATTTCGTTTACGTCACGACTAAAACACGCATATCGCGGCGAAGAGCAGCGTCAAAGGTAAGAAGCCTCTGGACGAGTGTATTTCTACGACGGGATAGGCCTATGTCCAAAAAAATAGTTTTTGGACTGATTAAAAAAATAAGATAATTTATAAAAAATTCCATGGTTATTAAAGTTTCCCTTTGTAGGTGTTTTGTAATTAAACTGTAAGTTAATTCTATGTCTACGTATAACTGAAAAACGTAAACCAAAAAAAGCTTAATAAAAAACTAATGAAACTAATACAATAAATAATGAGAATATACGGTATGCGTTAAGCTAACAATTTGCATTAAATAAGCATCAAGGCCCAAGGGCAACAGTATATAAAACGAATCCTCGATCTCCGTATGGGAAATCAGTTTCCTATGCCGAGGTTTCCGCTGAAGGCTAATTGGGGGACGTCACGCGACTATCACGCGGGTGGCACGGCACACCACCCCGTGCAATTTCCACCCCACTTATATAACTTCTCTGTCGACCATCAATGTTTATAGGAAGCAAATAACTTTACTTAGTCTTTGTGATTTAAAAAAATATATTATAAGGTTTTTTTTAAAATAAAGTAAGTCGCTTCTGAAACCCATGGACACCTACAACTAAATGCAAACGAAGAAGACTAAGTTCTCACCTCTGAGGACTAAGATGGAATGCCTGAGCCATTATACTGGATCTCCATACCTATCAGACAGAATTACAATTGTAAAATACAGCTAAGGTGCCGTGACAGCTCAGGGGCCAAACCGCATTAAATTTCATAGCATATTATTTATTGAAATTTTGAGTGGTGGAGAAAAACATCTTAATCTGCAGGTCTAAGAAATTAAAAAATAAATTTGGGAGTTAGAGATGAAACACTTCTACAATGAAGCGAAGACGCCTAACAGTCTAACGGTCTACTTTATAGTAAGATAATGCTGTAGTATATCAAGCTATTTCTAATTTGTCTTGTATCGTTAATTGCAAACATGATTGTAAGCTATTATTTGAAAAAAAAAGCCCCGCTGGGTTTCTCGCTGGTTCTTCCCAGGACAGAGGTTTTTTTTTGCGAACCAGTGGTAAATGAAAAAAGTGACTTTCAATAAGTGAAAACACTTTGTTATTCAATGTACATTGAATAACAAAGTTTCTGTTTCTATAGACACCTACAACTAATACTACTCTTACTTTTCAAATCAGAACATAGCGTTTGCTGTACTACTCATACCTGTTCATAGGTCTGCCATAAGGAGCTTAACACTAACATATTATGTAAATCAATGACTACTAGTTAAAATTCTTAAGTACAAAAAATAAGTTTTGTAACTTGATTGTAATTAAGTTTTAGTAAAAAATCTTACCCAAGAGCCAGTAGAGCCCCAACGTTTAAGCCGTTTGCCGAAAATGTTCTGACATTGAGATAGGCACGACACCGACGTGGCCGGCTGGATCTTGCCACAGAAACTCTCACCCCTGTCTAATGTCATTGTAAATTCACCGAGTAAATTGCACTTTCGTTATAAAACTGTTCATTCATGTTCTCATTTACCGGACTCAAGGTATTTAGACGGGATTTAAATCCTTAAGATTAATACGCGCCGATGTTTACTACGATATGGTCTAACGGTCGGTTGTCGTAGCTAGCGTGCGATCGCTACGAGGACTGTAACGCGAATGGTGAATTGGCTCGTTTTCCACTAGCCGGGAAAGTCGCCTCGCCCGCCCAAAAATCCCAATTAGCGCGGTATTTTATTCCCACTTTTTTAATGGACTCGCATTAGTGGCGTATTATGACACGGTTTTGTGGCGAGTGTCGACGGTGTTTTGAAGAAATGCTATGACACAAAATAAAAAATAAATACACGCATAATATTCACACAGTTAAATAGAACTATCATTTAATAATGCGGTTATTTAATCAAAACAATTATGAATATTTAAATATCTACCCTACTGGTATAAGCATATCTTCAAAATTGAATAGAAACCGATATTTTTCCTAAAAAATATCTACTCTATGATAATAAGCGTTCCTAGTTGTCCGTGACAACCCACGCTTGCAAGAAGGTATGCTGTCACCCACAATACTTAGCCGATATAATTCCTCTCTGTAGGTGCGACCCATAGCTATAGGCTCCGACACCATTATCTGACGTTCTTTATCAGGCATTTCGGTCATGGTCATGGGTCGGGGTCGGAGGGACGCAACCTACACGATGATGTTTATTAATCTAACAGATTCGAATACAACACACTTTTGACAGCCATAATTAACTTATTTTGACCTGTCAAGCATTATTTACAGGTACTCGATGAAAGTTATATTAGTAGTATAGTTGCAGCAAGAATGGCTCGGCTCGACCAGGGAAGGACCACTCTATCATACAATACTAGCTTAACGCTGCTGTGTCTTGTATGGTGAGTGTAGAGAACCGGAGACCCTTTTTACTGGAAACGAAGCATTCTATCTTAGTCCTCACGAATGACAACGCATTTGCATTTTGATTTATAGTCAAGGAAATAAGTACGAGTAGATGTTTATGAGCCACAGCAAAAACTTACCATCAGATGGTCTGTGTGCTCGTTTTCATCCTTATATTGTAAAAAAGAGTGGCTTCTATTTCTATTTAATAGAATTTTTTCAATTTCACTATCAAGAATAACACTTACTTAATAATTCTAATCATTATCTGCGTTTAAATTAAGGACCTAAAGTGAGTTGCCATGATTAGAAATAATCTTACAAAATAATATTTTATAATTATGAAGTGTTTTGGTTTGAAGAAAACATTTCACTCCTATATTCTTGTCTCGATCTGTAATACTGACCCCTATTTTTAGCCTACTGCGCCGGATCGTATCGGCTTTAAAAACGTTTGAGTATATGAATGGCCTCCAGCAGTAATAACGCGACGTAGTTGATTAAAAATTTCGAGAGTGGCTGGAAAAACACGCAAAAGTATACGAACAACAGAATAGAAATCACATAAAATTTGTAATAAACTTTTTTTTAACGATATATTAAAATAAAATTTACAGAGCACGGAATTGAGAAATGAGATAGACACTTTCGCTTGTTTTCGTAACTGACAATACACTATCGGATTTGAAGGTTAAACTTATGATTTCCATGCGTTGTGAATTCAAACAAAACATTAATCTTTCTAAAGACTTTCTATTCGCAGTGGGTAAACAGGTAGACTGCTCGGACGCACTGAATGAAAGCCTATAATTGGCTGTAATGAATGAAGCAATCAATTGGAATTGCTTTGACTACAATTGTCTTAGTTTCTAATTGTAAGTATAAATGATATTCGAGGTGATTGGAAGTTCCTTTCCTACCTAGAAGACCGGTCGGAGTTGATAATACCTTATTAACTCCGACCTTAACTTATTACTTATTCCTGCAGCGAAGCAGTAGGGAACTAACAGATGTACCCCGGTTATACAAGAAGTTAAAAAGAAAAAGGCATTTTATCTAAATCCTTACGGGAGATAACGCATCTGTGGTCTGTGTACGATTTTAGTTGCAGATGTCCTTGGCTTCCTCAGCCATTTACCGTCAGGTGGTAAGCTTGTTATTTTAATATTATATAAAACTAAATTTTGCTACACAATGTGTGACATCAACAAAATTATTTCCTAATAGGATGCCTTTTATATAAAATAAGGGTGACAAATCACCGCACACTCCGTCTAAAGGTAATTCTGTGGCCCATAGACGCCTATCATATATCATAGACATCTATCCTCGATTATGAATCAAAATATAGATGCGCTATCTAAACGACCCTCGTTTCCATTAAAAATGATATTCGATTCTCTACACTGACTATACTATACGTTACAGCATTAAATATTCAATAAAAGTATTTTACGCTGGTATTCTGTGAGAGCGTGGTCATTCCCCGCTACAAGCCGACCCATTCGTGCTACAACGATATGGCTGCAGCACGGCTCTACCACGCTGAAGGCTTTCTTTTTAATTTAAGCAGGCAGTTTAATTTCAAAGTACTATTATTGTCATTAATAAGTATTTAATGCTAACTAAGTGATATTACTTTGTAGAACAGCCATTGATTCCCTAATATTTTTACATTTTAAGCTGACATAACAGAAACTACCTAATTGAAGGAATGGTGGTAAAATTATATAATTCGTAGCGTCTTTCGGCCAACCGAGCGTACAAAAGAATTGATTTACTATTGTTGTCGCGATGATAATGCTTCGCGACAGTTACGTGTATCAGGCTTCTAATCTGCACGAAGACATGCTTTTAAGCACTTGAACCTTAAACGATTTAAAATGAGATAACGGCCTTATGTTTGTATTGGTCAAAATTCAACGAAGTGTTAATGGCGAAAGATTAACGTAACAGTGAAGTGTACTGGCAATGGAAAACCACTGACACATCAAAGAAACGATTTATTTGTTGAAATTGTAATTTTAATTTTAAATGTTTTACTAACTAATAATTTCGGTGGAAAGTTTATTATTCGGTATTGCATTATGCAATATAATCGTACTTTTTTTCGCCACTGAACACCTGCCGCTTCTCTATTGACTTTCAGACGAGCTTGCAGCGAGGTAAGGTGTACACAGCGTCCATGGAGAACACATGCTCTTGCGTTACCGTGTCTGAATATATGCCAAAGGAACCACCGACACATACCGCTAAGCTCCCTCCAATTTTGGCTTAAGGCTTCGGCGAAGCATGTAGCATGACGGCGTGATTCCCAAACAACTTGATCGAGCACACAGATTACTCCCTAATCTGTGGATCAGGCAACACGCAGGTTACAACAGCACGTGTCTGTCACCACGTCAGTGAGGTGGACATACACATTGTCTGTGGCTTGCACAATGGAATACTAGCTTCTTGCACACACCAGCTACTAACATATGTATAAGTAGTTTGCACATTTGCGACAGGAGCATTAAGAGGCTGCAAGCCGCATATCAAAAGACACGTGTAAATGCAAGCGGCAGCTACGGAAATACTACTAGCTGCCGCAGAATTAGTACACGATCTGCACATAACTTTGCCAGTGCCTACCAAGTTTTGTAAAGAAACGGCCAAATAAGTATCTGTTTTCTAATTTCTTTATAAAGTGAAATTTCTTTAAAAAAAATAGTATGGTAATAATGTACGCGAAAGTAAAAAATGAGCTGTACAGGCGGTCGGCAGCGTGCAAACACCGCAATATTAGCTTGTGTATACCTACTATAAGGTACAGGCCAGAAACTAAATGCGCGCAATTTTATTTAAAAACTACCTGGCCAAGCAGACGTTATTCTGACCTTTCCGACGACCCTTCCTATAAAAAAATCCTCAATAAAAATATGAGGGTCATTAATCGGGATAAAAACTATCCTAAGTTGGACCATACTGCACACAGTGTGGAAAATTTAATTGTAATCACTTTAGTAGTTCTAAAGTTAATCGTAGACAAACAATTGTAACCCGTGATTTTATATATAAAGATGTATCCTCAGTGTGCCCTATACTGGCACATGATATTATTTGGCATGCAAACTACTTCACCAATTTGATGGGACACCTTCACACTAACGTCGTCAGTTTAAAGTGATTCTAGGGTAATAGAAAAAGTTATACCTATTTTAAAACGATTAACGCATTCGTGTTCTTGTAAACAAAATTGTAGTTAGTTGATTTAAGAGATTGCAGGAGAGTCTCGCACTAATTAGTACGATCAGATAAAGCGAAAACTTGCTGAACTAAACGAGGTGAGCGGAAAACCTTATAACCTAACCGGTGTTCATGTGTTTTAATACATGTACACATAATAACATGATTTTAACACCTACTGTACGGATTAAAATAAAGTAAGTCTACTTATATTCAATCTCAAAGAGGATCGTCAATGTTAGCAAATATTTACACCCGAGATAACGTCAAGTTGCTCTATTTACATTTTTTTGCATGTAAATAATTTTTACATAAGACAGTACAAAAATATAAAAATTAATATGGTCAATAGTGCAGTTTGCCGTGTAGTGGTGGTATAAGGAAACTTTTCACTACAAGATATCATCCCGTGGGTGAAGTACGCTTGTAAGAAGCGATAGAGGGAAATGAAATGAGGTGAGAGGTGTTACACCTCTTTGCGTATTTTATCGTATTTGCCGCGGGGAGTGCTCAGAGGAATTGTTCGGACTAATTCCAGCTGCTCAATTTCACCATCGCACATCGCAACAGAACTCGAGATACCATCCTTACCATCTGGATGATTGGCGGTCCACCACTGTGCGATTAACAAGAAGTTTTCTTCCTCGCACAACTTCCTTGTGGAATCGACTACCACCAGCGATTTTTCCGCCTCAGCCTACTCTTTTTTAAAAGGCCGGCAACGCATCTGCAATTCCCCTGGTGTTGCAGTTGTCCATGGGCGGCGGTAGTCACAATCAGTTGAGCCGCATGCTCGTCTGCCCCTCTTATATAAAAAAAAAAGTTCTTTGAAGTCAG